GCGCAATTATTCTCATACCATGAAGTCGTTGTAAGCTTCACCATACCCCGAATGAATGTAGTTGTACCCACGTTTCTGGAAGAAGCTGCAAGCAGCTGTTTCAAAATATCTTTCTCCCTCCTCTTCCTCCTCCTCTCCTCCTCCATCTCCCTGACCTTTCCAGCTCTTTGCTCCAAAACTTTCCAACCTAACGCTGATAAGCTGTGGGGCCACAGACAAAAGATCAAGGACCTCTTGCAGGCAGATGATCGCTTCTTTCTCTACCTGCTCTCCCGTCATTCACCACCAGTGTCACACGCACCCGACTCTCCTCCTGCTCCATCTTCAATAATATTCGAGGAAGTCGCACTGCAGCATCGAGGTTTTCGGGTTTGCAGTTCCTACACACAGAGGTCAAAGAAGCCACTCTCCATCATGATCCCCTCCCCTACCTGAATCTGTCAGCAGGCGCAAGAGATGAGCATAAGATGTTGTAGGAAACAACGCGGAAGTCAGGCATCTGCTGTCAACGGTGACCTGCAGAAGGAGCTGAAGGTTGCGGGCTGTGGGTTCAAGGCAGAGGCGACAAGGGAGCAATGGACAATGGAGGGTATGGATGAGGGAGCCTAGGTTGACCAGGATGAGGGAGTGAAAGAGATAGGGAGGTCTGCAAACAATGAGGAGGGAACAAGGGAGGGAGGTAGGGTTGGATGGATCTACAAGGAAATGCAGGAGTTCAGAGGAAGGAGCCTCTGCAGGAAAAGGGAGGGAGAGGAAGGGAGGGAGGATGGGGAGGAAGGGAGTGGACGAGTTCTTCGGAAAGGGAGGGAGGAGGGAGGGTGGATGGTTGGTAGTATTTCAACTTCACCTCAGAATACTAAATAGACGATATTTACGGGCAGTGTCTAACTACAAGCATGCAGCGGCATGCGAGCAGGTCTGCACGCAGCCCAGGGATGGTGGGAGGGTTGCCAGCATTAGCCAGTTCCAGAGATGTCAGGAGAGGTAAGCGAAGCAGCCAAAGGAGAGGAGGGAGCAGGTCAGACAACTCCGTGAGCGAAAGAGCAAGCAGCAAGATGGTTGATGCAGGTGTGTCGGAGGTGAGAACAAGTTATTCGCAAGGTTGATCTCCGCGTGGTCAACCTGGTATACAAGGTTGAAGTACGGCTTTTTCTCAACCATAAGATTACTCTTCAAACCTCAAGATGATGAGCATCATCAAAAGCTCACAGCATGCATAAAGAACAAGAGCCCTAGTTACATGCTTGTAAAACAGCTTTACTAATGAAAACAGAAGAAACAACGTCAAAAATCCTTGTGATGACGGGAAAAACAATACAAATGAAGGAGTCGTTCCTATCGTACAATGAGCCTAGAAATAAACTGATGAATTTAACTGAGCCTGATGCATCAGTTACTTGCATGACATACATTAATGAATCCCAACTTGATGAGGGGCACCGATCACACATTTCCTGTACTTCCGTGTAGCAACGCCAACGCAGTAGGGTTCGTACGCAGAGGAAGTTCTGCAGAGCACGTGGTGCTCTTCACTTTCCTCCGAGGTACCCGAAGGAGGATGAGAGATTGCAGTCGAATGAGTCTTTGCTGCCTGTAATCTGAGCATTCTAGTAGAGACTCCTGGCATTGTGCTCAAGTGCTGTGCAGTAAAAGAGACGATGCGATGAATGCGAGATCGATCTGAGCTGGTGAGTAAGGTACAAGAAGGATAGCACGGCTTCAATGGGTACAAGGCAGACAAAGATCCAAGTTGCTGATTTTGCCTCACGAAGGTCGAATTCTTGTTATGTTGCGTTTAATAAGGTTGTAGTCGATGTGCTTGTGCTTGTGCTTGTGCTTGTGCTTGTGCTGTTACTTGACTGAGCTTGCTTGATGCTGATGCTGTTGAAGGCTCTCCGATGCCGCTCTGTCGCCTCAGTTCAGGGTTTTTACTTTGAGCAACGAGAGGGAGAGGGGTGGGTGATCGAACCAAGAGGGGTAGTATAACATTTGGGGTGGGTACCACTTGACCACGGGTAGTGCTAGGGTCACGATATTCTATTTGATTTGAAATTCAAGACAATATATTGTTTTGGTAATATTTCAAGTTTTGTTTGTAATTTCAAAGTAGTTTTCAAAGTAGCCTACTTCAGAAAAAGTTCCCACATTACCCACCAGGTTTGAAATCTGATCGGATGTTCCACAGAGGGGGTGGGTCATCGCAGGAGGGGTTGAACGAGATGGTCCTTCCCTATGACTCAACGTAAGTCAGCAGACCTCCTTTGCTCTCTTCTAAAACACTTATAAAGTACCCCACCCCCAACTGGACCCACCTCCGGTTCAACCCTTCCATGACCCACAATGTGCAACCGATGTCAAAAAGCAGTGCCCAGCCTTTGCCAAATGGTTTCATGTATGTGCCCATGCTCGTCTATTTCTTATGTATGATAATAATGTGATGTTCACCATGGGCCTCCTGACCGATTATAGACCCAACTTTTGGTGACCCCCTATCACCCTTCACGATGACCACCCTTCGATTTTAGTCCCCTCCATCCATATCCCTTCATCACCAACAAACAACCATGGGGGATGGGGGTGGATACTCGCCGATCTTATCTCGAGAGTGCACCCCCCTTTTCCCCCATTGATTCAGGGGTAATGAAAAAAAGTCAGGGTCAGCGAATATCTGTCCGAAATCTGAACCACCATGTCAATGGAATGAGTGGGTGGGGTGAGGTACCCTACGTCGATCTGAAAATGAAAGTTTCAAATATGTAACATGCTCAAGATCTAATTCCAAATTTTGTGGTGAAAATATTAACAAATATTTCATAAAATAACCCTTGATTTGATTGAACCCACTCAATCATTTAACCCACTCAGTTGATTTCTTGCAGCCTGATCTGGAAGCTCCTCCACGTTGCCTTTTTAAACCGTGATTGTTTTATTCATAATACTAGATATAAAATTACGAATGATTGTAGTTTCACCATGGACTGTGTACCATGATCCCCTGGTCAAACCAAGGAATAAATCCTTTTAAGCCCCCTTGACCCTCTGGTCAAACCTCCCCGACTCGTTGAAGTTAAACAGCAGCTTGCCAGGTAGGGGTCATTAAATTCAGTATCTTTACCCCCTTATTTCAGGCTAAATGAACGGGTAATGAGTATTTGAGTGGGGGTGGTCATCAGGGGTGGAGTTAGATAAGACGATTAGCTCTTGCTCCCCGATCCTATATCTCCTGTCCTCTCTTGTTCAGCGACAGCAACAGTTGCTATCGTCCTTCGTGAACCCTTCTGTTTCCTCTACTCCCTCCCCTTACAGTCTCCTCCCCTTCCATTGATTCAGCGTCCATCACCGAAGTAGCCAAAGATGCCAGGGATTTCATACATGTACAAGAAGATGAACAAGCACAGCGCGAGACAGAGCGCGACAGCGAGCTCGAGCTCCACCTCAAGCAGATCGTCGTCCTCCTCCAATGGGGAAGTGAGAGAAGGATCCTTGCTCTCCAGCTGCAGGACCAAACATGTGCTCGTGAGTGCGAGCTTTCCGATTACAAGAGCGAAGCTCGTCTCGGAGGTCTCACCCCGAGAGTGAAGAACAATGTGTCTCAGTCTTTTCCTTTATTCTTTCCCAACATGTAGATTATAATGAACTGTTATGACTTGAGTTTTGCTCTTGTCCTCTATCATGATGAAGCGAATTTCGTTTTGACCCATTCCTGGCAATCCTCCTTCTTTGCCTCCATCGGTCTTGCGAACAGTCAGTACATATCAGAGGATACCTAACTTACTTGAGCTGCGACAGCTGCCAGTCAAGAACTTCCCTGGAAATGGTGCCGATTCTGATTCCGTCCTCCTGTGGAAGGTCAGCAGAGCAACTCCAACCTTGGATCACTCGCCTTGTTCTTCTTGTCCAGACCGAGGATCTGCACAATTTGTGAGATTGAATGAGAGAAAGCGAGAAAGAGTGAGAAGATGGTTGGTAGGGAGAGGGAGACGGAGAGAGGGAGAGGGAGAGGGGGAGGGAGGGAGGTAAGATGGTTGGTAAAGAAAGGGAGAGAAGATGGTTGGGATCTGCGAGGAAGGAGGAAGGGAGGAGGGAGACAGGATGAATGCGGGTCAAGTCTCGCCTGGCAGATGTCGTTGCCGGTTAGCAGGGGCTTGATCTCCCAGCACTTGTCCAAGGCCTGCAGGAGCTTCAGAAGATGTGACCTCTCCTCCACCTCCCAACCCCCAGCCCCAACTCCGTCGTTTCTTCCTCTTCGCTCACCCAGCTGTTCATCATTTCTCGCTCAAGAGCGTGCAAATCTTCCATGCTCAATGTCTCCGAGAGCTCCCCAGCAGCAAGAACCAGCGCAAGTCGCCATTGCTCTCCTCCTCTCCTCAGGCACCTGCAAGAGCCATCAAACGTCTAGCCGCATCCCCGTTGCTCCTCACTTGGCTGCTCGCAGCTTTAGCTCGACGTCCTCACGATGCGCCGGCAGGGACGCGGCGACCTGGCGCAGCTCCTCCGAGCAGTCGAGGAGGACGGAGACTTCCTGCAGCCCCTTCACCCTCCTCCGCAGCTCCTCTAGCTCCCACCTGCACGTCTTTGATGGTTCCCTTGAGAGCCACACGGATCACGTGCTCGATGAGCGGCAGCGGCTTCTTCCCTCCCTCCACTGAAAGCGACCGCAACCTGCTCCTCCCGTGAACGTGGCTGAGGGGCATGCGAGTCACAATCTTACGGCGTGAGGGCAGCAGCAAGAAAGACAAGGCGGCGCCATTCGGGTGAGAGCGACTACGAGGAGGAGGTGAGTCGCGGGACGGACAGGAGCGCGAGGTTCACGTGGAGGGCGACTAGCTGCTGCTGTACATCCTCCTTCCTGAGCATCTGACTCAATGTCTGATGGTCGAGCGACGAGATCTGAGAGGAAGTCATAGAAACCCAAGGGCAAGAAGGGGGAGAGGAAGGGGAAGGGGGGAAGGGGAAGAGGAGGAGGATGAGGGAGAGGGATGACAGAGGCAGGAGCGAAATGCGCGACCTTTCTCACGACTGCCATGGCCTTTGAGGTCCAACTGGGGTCCAGCTGATCTTCTGTAGAAGCCTCAAGGATGGGAATGAACGTCTTTCCTCCACCACCACCACTCTCCCTCTCTTCGTTCTGACTTCCTCTGCCTGTCTCTACTTCCTCTAGCCTCCTCCCTCACTCCCTCTTCCTACCTTTGATCGTTTCAGGAACAGAAAAAATGACCCTGCACGTACGAGAGTCAAGGCAAGGAGTGGAGAAAAGGCAAGGCAGGGTTCGGTGAAGGAGGCAGGAGGAGGCAGAGGAGGCAGTTGGGAGAATGGGAGGGAAGTCAGTGAAATTTCCCCTACCCAAACATCCCACATGAGTGCAAGAGTTCCAAGGATCGCCGAGGGTTCTGTGCTGGAGCATGAGGTGGAGATAAGGAGAGGGAGACAGCACCGGCCCCGTTAACATCCCGTTCAGCTCCGTGTACACGCGTTCCTTGCTGACCTGATTGAGTGGATAAGAATATGAGAAGTTGGGAAGGGTAGGTAGGGAAAAGAGGAGGCAGGAAGGAGGAGGGGGGAAGGGGAGGGAGGGAAGTCATAATGAAGGGAAACAACAGAAACTATTGGAGCAAGAGTCAAACCTTGGAAGAAAGCGCCTGCCTCACCTGCACCAGCAAAGCATCAGCTAGGTCACAGCTGGGCATTTCCTGCACTGACCTCGCCCATCGAGAGCGTATCTTCCAGCTCCTTGTCCAGCTGGAAGTCAAACCGACAACTGCGAGGAGTCATGACACGCGAGCAAGGTATGGGAGAAGTACGCGAATCGGATGGCGCGGAGGGCTCGGAGCGGATCGTCGGTCATGGTCTGTCAGGAGTGAGTGAGGGGAAGGGAGGAGTCGAGAGCTTCCGGGACCTGCAGAGGAGGGAGAGGAGTTCGGATAATCCTATCGTTCAAGTCCTTCATGCCTTGAAGTGGGCAGTCAGCGCAAGAGATCTGCGGAGGGAAGAGGAAGGAGCAGACGAGAGGACGGGAGGGAAGGATCAAGGAAGGATAAGAGGAGGAGAAAGTAGCACAGACCTGAACCTGTATGATCCTCTACTGTCCTGGATCCAACGTGTGAGGCAAGAAGAAGTGTCCCCTGACTGACCTCTCGTTGATGTTGTAGAAGAGAGCGTTGATCGTCAGGTCTCGCCGCATCGCCTGCATACACTTCACTCGTTGCCGGAGGGCAGGGACGCTAAGGTTGACCCACGTCCTCAACAGCCGTCCCGATCCTCATCGTCGGGATCCGTGTATCCGTATACTCCTTCTCCATGTCAGTCCGCCGACTCGCTCCTG